GCCTGCAGATGAGGAACAAAAGAGGCGCTGGCAGCAGTGGGAAGTGAAGGGTGAGGAGCTTAAACACGGTGTGGACGTCAGAAAGAAACTAATGTGCAGAGAGATCTGCAATGGCTTGTGTTGCTGCGGGGAGCCAGAGGGTGTGGTACTATCACCTAACAAGTGATTCAGCTGTTGCTTTGTGGTATTTCTAGGTCTGACAGTGGAGGAATCAACAGAGTGTGTGCGAACAGAAACCACTAAGCGTGTCCTTTTCAGAAAGAAAAAGAAAGTCAGTACCAGATGCACTACAAACAGAATGACTGTGAAACACGAAGGTGACCGCGATGAGAACGAGGCCCATGTGCTGTCATTTGCTATGAGAGAGACCATTCCCTCAGCTAGGTGCCCAGGGTAAAATCCTAGCTTTGGTGAAGTAGAGGTGCAGCTCCCACCAATTTCAGGGGAGTTAGTATTTCTCTCTGAAGCAGGCATCAGAAACAGCTTCTCACTTACAAAAGAAATCAGGATCTGGGAGTACTTTTTCTCTGCTCTGGAGTGCAGTGCTAGGAGATCCAGTGTCTGGGGGGGTCCAGTCTGAAGGGCTCCACAGTGGTGCTGTGTCTTCCCAGCAGTCTTGCGTCTGACAAACACCTCCCTCAGCCTCGGCTCTTGGGCAGCCCACGCTGCAAGTGGGAAATGGGCTCAGCCTGCAGTATGCAACAGCGACCCCAGTCCTTGCTGAGGGCGGCTTGGGGCTAGTTAGAGTCTGGCAGCAACGAGACAGGCCTGCCCTTCCCCTCCCTTTCTTGTTGGACCAAGCAAAAATCTAGGTGCAGCAGACACCTTGGTAGTGCCAGGAACGTGTCTCAGTTAATTTTCTCCAAGAGTTGCAGGAGTCACGTATCCTGCATCAACAAAAGCAGGGATTTGATTACCTGTGCCACATGTTGCAGCCTCATTTTATGATCAATTCCAGTTACTCAGATGTTTAACAGAGGGACTAAAGGTCCTGCCTTGCAGAGCATCCCCCTTCTAGTGGAGTCTGTTGTATTTCTTGCATCTTCCACAAGTCTGTTGTGTAGATCTCCATGTTTCTGTGGCTGAGATGTTATGCGCTTTTCTTTGGAAGACTGACATGAGTTTAGACTCTGTTCTTTTAAGGGTGATTTCATAAAATTAATCCTAATATATTCTTTTATATTTTCTTATAGTTTTTGTTTTTAATAATTCTGTTGCTATATCCACTGTCCGTGGAGGCCTTTATCCGTTTGACAATTCTTCAATGAAATTCTCTTTCAGGTTCCATTCTGGAGTCGGCCGAACGATCGGTGTCTCTGGTAAAAGGTGGAAGGTCAGAATATGCTGCAGCTCTGGCCTGGGAAAAAAAGGGGGCTTTTCCAGAGCATACTGTCTTCACAAACTGGCTGGAGTCAACAAAGGACAATCCTGTGGTGGTTGACTTTGAGGTAAGAGAAGAGCAAAAAATAGTGAGATAGTAGAGCACTCCATGATTTGCTGTTCTCTAGAGAACTTTTCCGAGCTCTCTTATCTTTTAAATCAGAACGGTGCTGAATGTGATGATACGAATTACGAATGTGCAGGCACAATACAAAAAACCATGCAAAATGTTTATTAGAACTACTTTTTATGTGCCACAGCTAATAGAGGGAGGAACAGGAGTGAATTATTCTGGCACCAGCTGAACTGGAGCTCAGGTGTGGGCAGGGACTAGTCATTTTGCAGGAAAGCATTGCACAAGTGAGCAAGAACATGTGTTTTTCCGGAGCGCTTTCCCTTGTCAGCCTACTCCGCAAGCTTTGGCACATAACTAAGTTGAAATGAATTGGCAGTCCCATAACATTGCTCCCCTGCTTACTTAATGCAGCGTGTGCCTGCGCTGATGTGAGTACTCTCAACTAACTGCCTGGCCCTGGCTGACGCTGCAGCAGCTCCGAAACAGCAGCAAAGAGCTCAGGGCAAACTGCAAAACTTACCTGAAAGTAGTGTGCTGTGATCTTCCTCCCCTTGTAACTGCTGATGTATTGAAGGCAGCATGAGGGTGTCTTCATACATGCAGTGATTTGGTGTAAGCATCCCCTGCATCACCTACGGTAACTTGAATTTTTAGAGGCAATAGCCCCTTGGAAAGTTTTGCCACTGGCTTGCTGAGCCCTAAGCAGAGGAAATAAGAACAATAGAAATGGGATAATCTAGATATATAAAGCTGTCAGGCTCCTTTAAAGCATATATAACTTTCTACGTGGCAATACTCCAAACTCATTTATGATATAGCTTCATATATATGCTCTGTTGCCTTTAAAATTGACCTGACAACTATTGCCTCGCAACTATCCACAGCAGGACACTGCTGCGGCTGAGCGATTCTTTACTGGATGGTTATCTTTCAGGTGTCACCCATCGTGGATTTGGTGAAGAACGTGCCGTGTGCAGTGACCAGGCGTCGCAACCTCAGGAGAGCCCTTAGAGAATACGTGGACAGGTTCGACCCTTGCCAGTGTGCTCCGTGCCCCAATAATGGCAGACCTGTGCTTTCCGGGACGGAGTGCCTCTGCCTGTGCCAGGCCGGCACCTACGGGAACAACTGTGAGATGCGGACTCCAGATCACAAATCAGGTATCTGGGATAATGTTGTCATGATGTAAATATGGTCCTTCTGATGTAGAATGCATAGTGGGCTGTGATCATGAATTCCTATGCTCTGGAAAAGCTGAAAAGTGTTGCTTTTCTAGCTCATTTGAAAATTAAATTCTCTATTTTTCTCTAGAAAAAAAATCTGAAATTTCATTTAAAAAAAACCCAACAGAATGATTATGACCCTATATAAATGTTTCCTGTAACTGACTGATGTCTGAGCCTTTCTCTGCCATGTTATTTCCAAGTCATATTTCTAATATACATCAAAAAATATTGTTCTTAATGTAGGAGTGCTTAGTCTTGCATTTTCAACTGTTAAGTTTCAACCCATTTCTTCTATACCAGGTATCCATTCCATTAGATATTCCATAGTGGTATCTCAATTTTCCAGACTTTGAGTCATTGGTAGACTTTGATGCTAAGCTCTTATTTCTGGAGCTGAGGCTACTCCTGAAAATAGTAAATGAAGGGTTAGTCCTAAAACACAGTCCGTCACAACCTTCTTGGGTCACTCTGCTCATATCCCTTTCACGGTGCTCAGATGCCGCAAGCAGGATATGCATAAGTCAAAAGCTGATATTTATTGGCTAATGCATAGAGTAGACAACTGGGATTTAGCCAGATATGAGAATAAGCATTAGTTTGTGCGTTTTCCCTCTCAGACCCCTGGGAAGTCTTTGCTGGCCAGGCAGCATCAGCCAGGTGGGGAAGGGCTGGCCTCAGGACAACCTGGCCTAGGGATAGGCTCTTGATGTTTCTGGCTTACCATATTATAACTCCCTATTTTTTTCCTTCAGGACTTTATACCTTTCCTTGGTGGTGCCCCTTCCCCCCGCCCCCCCCCCGGCCCCTTGAGCTGCTAACAGAGCTGTTTCAGCAGTCTTACTTTTGTCTGTAATTTTACTTGCGATCTTGTGCCGTTGTACTTTAGTGGCTTTCTCACAACTTGGCTGTTTCCTCAGGGTCTGCACCAGAGTTACATGGGCAGGCCATACCAGAGCAGGGCTTCAGGTCCCTGGGGTGCAGGCAGCTGGCCCCCAGGGTGGCGCAGCTTGGGGGGTGCAGGCAGAGTAGGTCGGAACCCTATGGAGCTCCAGGAGTAGTGACGGTCTCAGTTTAATATAGTGAAAGGATTTAATCTGCTTTTGACCTGAGCAATATAACACTTTCTCATTTTTCATATATATAAACAGGTGAATTTATCCACTTTTTTCTTGATTCCTGTGATGCTGATTAATAACCCACCCACATCCCAATAAATCCCTTTCAGCCCAGCCAGTTCCTCATTATGTTGTTTTTACTAATCCTAATCTTCTTTCACATAACAAAACTAGTTTTACAGCACCATATTTAAACTAGAACTCTTCTAACTTAAAAACAAATAACTGAGCTAAGACGTGATGAAGCTATCCAAAATCATGACTGGTGAATAGGGACTTATTTTTCAACATCTCTCACAAGGTAAGGATACAAAGCTGGAAGGTGGCAAGTCCAAAACAAATGAGATGTGGTTCTCCACACAAAGTGTCGTTACGTTGCGGAATTCCTCGCTACAGGATATTGTGCCCATTAAAGGTGTGCATGGTCTCAAGGGTCAAATGGACACAGCAACAGAGGAGTCCATCAAGGACTATTAAAAAATAAGGTTGCTGCTTTGCGTCCGGGAAGTCTCTGACCCCAGTGCCTTGGAGTTTTCAAGGCTCTGTAGGGAAGCACTGCTGCCTGCACTACCTATTCTTGTAATCCTCCCTAGGTATCTTTATGGTCACCATTAACAGCAGAATGCTGGGCTGGATGTACTTTTCATCTAACTTAATATGGCCATTTTAATGTTCCTAACATGCTTTTCCAAAACACTCACGATACATTATATCTATGCCATACCTTTTACCAAATATCCCCCAGCACTTTTGTCATTCAAAGATATGTCTGGCCTACCCTTAGTAAACACATGACACTTCTTATCCAGTGGTGATGGTCAGAAAGCATATGGATAAAGGCAGAATTAAACAAGAAATCAAACTGAATAGTCCTGACTTGTAAAATAAATTATAAGACATAGTAAAATATTCCCTAGCTAGAACATACAGAAAGAAATGGGCTGTCCTTCAATAAGGATGAAGTTGAGATCAAAGATAATTGAGGTGAAAATTAAAAGAAACCCATGTCTTGGCTTTCTCTACGGACTATTATGGCAAAGACAAAAGAGCTAGTGGATATAAAAACTGTTGATTACGAGGTGGAAGGAAAACTCAGTTTAATACCTCTTAAAGAGAGGGAACATATAATCGGCATTCTGGAGAATTTAAAGAACAGTTGCATGCAATTGTAACTGCATTGTTTTGAATGAAGTTGGCAGCAATACCATACTTATGGAAAACAGCAGATCAAAAGGAGGAAGGAAGGGAAAGTGATTCAGGAATGTAAAAGCCGTGTTATCTGTCTCTGATAAAGAAATAATTTGAAAGAAATAAACAACGTAAGATATAAGAATAAATTGAATATAAAAAGTGTATTGCATGCAGAGGAGAAATGTTGTGTAAATAAAAATTCTTCTATAGTCCTTCATAGTGACACAGACAAAATACCCCAGGGGTAAGAAGGATAGTAGTGTTTTAATTTAGTTTGCATGGGAAGTAGATTTGGGTTTTAGACTTAGTGTTAGAGCTCCAAGATTTAGTTTGATAGCACAGCGTTTCGTGAGTTAGCAAAAAAGGCTGATGGCATTGTGAAAACTGAGAATGTCTCTGCCTGCAATAGAAGTAGAAAATCGGCTTCTTCTGGGTTTGAATGACTTATGCCCAAAACTGGAAAGGAAGGTAATATTCAGGTTCTTTTAAAGCAGTTTGAATTTGGCTGAGCAGCTCTTTGGAAAACTTCACGGTCTGGATACAACCTACTCCCTTAACAGTTACAATTTTAAATCTTCTGAAAACTATTATTACAAATTTCCCACCGTTCTTCTTCCATATGGACCAAGAAAAGTGTAATGAACGGTACAGATTTATTAAAACACGGGTTTCCTTTATTTCTTTCAGTTGCTGTAGATGGCCGCTGGGGTTGCTGGTCTCAATGGAGTTCATGTGATGCTTCCTTCAAGAAAAAAAGAACCCGAAAGTGTAATAACCCCTCCCCGATGAACGGAGGGAAGCCCTGTGAGGGTGAACAGGAAGAGGAGGAGGACTGTTATGTCTCGGTGTTCATGGACAGGTAAGAAGACAGTAGATGAAAGTTCTCCATGGTTGTGAGGCGAAGAGCCCTCTAGAGAGGCCTTGCAGCTATCAAGGAGAAATAACAGAGACAGCTCTCCTGTCTGAACTTTGGTGGGGGCTGAGAGAAGGAAATTGTTCAAGTTCAAGTTTATTTCCAGGAAATACATAAAGAATTGTATTCTAACGTATATCTACAGATATTTTACTCTGCTTTGCATGGCTTCCAACCTGAAGCTGTAGAGAACTCACCCACTTCACGAGATTTTACAATTCCCTTTTTTTCACGTGGACCCTCAGTACTGCTCAATGTATTTAGACACTATCACCCCTTAGAAAATCCCTCCATTTGCAGCTGTTCATCACCTCTTTTTTTCTAACGTGATATGAAAATTCTTCATAAATAAAATAAAAAGGTGGCTCTATAGCTATCATTTGTTTAGCTCTCTTACAGTGTCTCTTCTATCAATATTTGCTACTTCTGACCTTTACCATCACCGTCTACTTACTAGAATTAAGTTTGTTTGTTTGTTTGTTTTTTAATTACCTTTTGGGGTGAGGAAAAAACTCTTATCATTGCTGTGTAAAGCTCTGAATTTCTACCATTGTCCGAGTTTGGTGATACCACTGTTTAATATGCATGCTTATGAGGGAATTCTTACTTTTCAGAGGGGCTCCTTGTATAAATGATGATGAAGCAAGGAGAGAAGATGAAATCTTGATTGCTGAACCTGAGTCTGGATGCTCCAGGCCAGACCCACCAGAAAATGGCTTTATCAGGGTGAGCGTGAAAAATGGGTGAGTGATATGAAAGGAAAGAACATGGGACAGTTCACAGAATCACAGAATCGTTTAGGTTGGAAGGGACCTCTGGAGATCATCTAGTCCAACCTCCCTGCTCAAGCAGGGTCACCTAGAGCATGTTGCCCAGGATCGCATCCAGACGGCTTTTGAATATCTCCAGGGAAGGAGACTCCACTACCTCTCTGGGCAACCTGTTCCAATGCTCAGTCACCCTCACAGGAAAGGAGTTTTTCCTCAGGTTCAGGTGGAACTTCCTGTGGTTCAGTTTCTGCCCGTTGCCTCTTGTCCTGTTGCTGGGCACCACGGAGAAGAGGCTGGCCTCATCCTCTTGACACTCCCCCTTCAGATACTTGTACACAGTGATCAGATTGCCTCTCAATCTTCTCTTCTCCAGGCTGAACAGGCCCAGCTCTTGCAGTCTTTCTTCAAGTTGCAGAGCTGTCAGTTTTTACAGCCTCTTTACTAGGTATACAGAAATAGGCCACATTCACAAGTATTTACTTCTGCTGATTTCACCTGAATATTGGAAGTGTAACACCACTTGCAAAAGATCACTTCCACCTGTTTAGTGGAAATGTTTTTCTAAATAATTAGAAGCTCGTGTTTTCTCTTACTCTTCAGTAATAAGGGATCTCTAAATCTAAGGTAATATTGTCTTAAATTTCTCACTTAGCTGATTAATTGAAATTTTATTTTTCACTACCTTAATTCATTTTCTTCTTTAAAACTATTCTGAATGTGATTTACAGTTAACACCAATTTAATTTTTTCTGTAGAATGAAAAGAACCAGTACGCTGTGGGGGAGGAAGCCGAAATTGCCTGCGTGACTGGTCATGTCCTCAGTGGCTATCAGTTCCTTAGGTGTCTGCCAGATCAAACCTGGACACAGCAGCATATTGAATGTGAACGTAAGAAACAGAAAACTAGTTTGGCTCAGCAGCATAAAAGATGAATAAGAGTAAACAAATTAGAATATAATATAGGCTTTAATAAAAGAATATATAGTGGTATCTGAAGAAATACCATTTTAGGAGGGCGTCTCATGCATTCACGTTAGAGATGACAAAAACCTACTGAGTCACTAGATGGTTCCTCTTTGAGTTCGTTTTCCTTTTTCAGGAGTGTAGCTATTGCATATTCTGTAAGGACATTGCAACGTTCAGTGCTTTAGAAAACGCTGAGATTGATTGTTATCAGCTCCTTCTCCACTTTAGTTTTAAATATCTTCAACGAAAGGACTCATATTTTGGTTCCACACTTATCTAGATAATCTTTAAGTTGATGACAGTTACCCTGAATAAAGCATTCTTGGAGGAATTGACTCCCACTTTTTATAATGGAAGATGTGTCTCTAACTCCTCCAGATTACCTTGAAAATCTGACCACAGATTAATACCCTGATGTGTTTATAGTCCAGTCAAAATTAAAGATCAGAACCGACCTAGGTGTACTAACAGGAGACACTCCAATAGTTTGCTACAACTCGGTATAGTTTTATCGACTTAATATTCATTTTATCATGAATGTGTTCTTGACCATGTTTATGAGCTTTCTATTGCCATTCAATTTAATAGTTTTGTTAATAGCTTCATTTACAAAAACAACTTTTAAAATATGTTGCGAGTGCCAGTCTTATTATTTTTATCGTTCTGTAAAATTAAATTACTCATACTAGCATACATTAGAAAAAGTAATTATTTAGCTGTTGATAGAAAAATATTTTACAGTATTTGATAGAAAAATACTTTTTGACATGACAGTGCATTGAAAATTTCTAGACTTAATTATGATAAATATTTATTACAGTTTTAAATGTTAGTCAGACCCATTCGGTATTATTGTGACTATGGCTCTTGAACTGAAGCGTTATGATTTGCTGTAAATATTTCTGCACTGTGAAAACAACAACAATCTTGGGGTTTTTTTTTCTTATTTGTTACAGCCTCAGTATGCCTGAGGCCACCAACGTCTTACAGCGTCACGATTTCCCCATTTAAACAACAGTACAATATTGGTGAAACTATTAAGTTAAGCTGCCAAGCTGGGTATATAGTCACTGGTCAGACAGAGTATACTTGTGGGAAAGACCTGTCCTGGATACCGTCTGTTTTGAGATCCATAACATGTGAAAAAGGTTAGTATTCCTGCAGGTGTTTCATTGTTTCTCTGCTGCTGGGATCCACAACAGAGTTGTGTTGTGTTTACTTTAGCTAGGTAGAACTAGGAGGCAGATGACTGATTTTGAGACATATAGCAATTGTTCATTAATTTTGGTTTTACTTTATATATATATGTATAAAAATATGTGTATTCTGCAGTCCCATATAAATTCAACCACAAACTTCTTCATTAAGTTCATGTTTTTGGGCAAGTTGCACTGTACATTTTGCTAATTATGCAGTTGTGAAACTGTATTTAAAAAAAAAAAAAACAGCTGTTTTAAGAAGGCTTTATGAAAGCAAAGTAGGAGAAAGCCTATTTTAAAACTTCAGCTTGTGAAGGTTTCTCCAGTAGCTTTTGTAGAGCCTTATGCATCCTTGTGGAATCCCAGCCGTGGGGGCTTTTGAAGACAGAAAATTGGGATAAATTGAAATGAATTCATTTTAGATTTTACAGTAAAAGTCTAACATAGTTAGGCTCAATTTGTTACTAGTTACAACAGCTCTTACTTTTTTGTTTCAGATAAGCAAACTAAGATTAGAGGTACTTGCAGTCCAGGACAAAAACAGATTGGATCTCAGTGTGTTTGTATGTCTCCAGAAGAGGACTGTGGGTAAGTTAAGTACTTTCACTAGAAAAAGAAAAGTCATCGTTTCTCCAGCAATGCACTGTTAATCCATTGTGAAGACAGAACAGGAGGAGTAACAAAAATGACGACAACTTTAGGATTATTGGCGTCTGTTCAGATACTAGACAGCTATGCTGTTGTATCAAAATTACAGCCCTGTTTATAGCCTATGAATAATGAACAATGACATTAACAAAATGGCACATCACCACACATCTTTCTAGTCTACATCTTCATCTGCTACTGGAGATTCCCATTCTTCATTTTCTTCCCTTTTTCCTCCAATTTCTTGATTTACACTGTCATCACCTCTGCTCTACTCCATGTGTTTGAAACTACCCTTTTTCAGGTGAATATGCTGCAAATTATATGTGCGTGTTTCAATCTCCAGAGCATATAAAAGTACAACAGACTCGGACATACCGTCTCTTTACGGAACACGACTTGGCCTTTGATCCTTCAAGCGAATAGAGGGTTCCTCTATTGCTAGAGCATTTTTAGTAAAGGGCTGGCAAGGGTGGAGGCGTGGTGTGGGTCTGAGTGCTGTCCTGGTACTTGGGATGCGAAAGATGAGTGCAGAACGAGTAGTGGCTGGACTGTTGTAGAGCTGAGACCGATGCACGTTCCACCGCAAGGCTCTTGTATGACCATGGGCAGTCCCTTGGCATGGGATTCATCTCACTCATGTCAGCCTCCGAATAACTAGGCATCTGTGCTCCCTCAAGAGCCCTTGAGTAGAGAGAGAACATGTTCAGAGGGTGATACACTTTGTCAAAAAGGCATAGGCTGACTCTTCTGTTAACTAGATGGATTTTGATACGGTTCAGAAATGCCTGCACGTGCAGAGAATGAATCCACTTGGGAACCAAAAGTAGTACAGAAAGGAGCTATAAGCAGCATAGCTGTGTTTGCCTGCCACTGGCCCCAATCTAATTATGCCTCAGGGCAAACTTACATCTATGGTAGCAGTGCTGCATTAACTCAGCTAAACCCCGCCTAGGGCCTGTGCTAGTTTACTGTGCTTTCTGGAGGTAACAGCATGCATGGAGCTCACCTTCCATTTCTTTGTGTGGGCATGCCCTCCACTTCTCATCTCCTGGATGGGAATAAAGCTTCCTTAGCTCATGGGGCTATGCTGAGGTATCAGAGGCTTCCCAAGGTCCAGATGCTGCAGCAGTTGGGACCATCTCGGGTCTTAAGATATATATCCAGTCTGGCTGCAGTTTTACTGTGGCTCTTCATCTTATGCCAGCAGAGTGTTTAGAAGCATGGATTTGTTCCGTGGTCTGCTAAAATGATTTTCCTTTTTTCCTGGGGCAGTCACTACTCGGAAGACATCTGTGTGCTACATGCTGCTTCAGAACAGACCATGACAAAGCCCAGCTGTGAGTACTTAGCTGAAAATTGCCTCCGAGAGCAGTCATTTCATTTCTTGCATGTCGGCCCTTGCAGTCGTGATGCCAATCAAGACTGGGCTATTGAAAGGGCAAAGCTCTCTGCAAATAGCCGGAAGAAAGTGCCATGTGGCTATGACACCTGCTATGACTGGGAAGACTGTTCAGGTATACTTTCGAACAATACAATTTATGCAGGGTTTAGGCACTGAAAATGAAACATGCTGGCTGCTTCATTGCTCTAAGAATGGGTTTTATGGACATTGTGGTCTGTTTCCTTTGGGCAATTTGTGATGAGAAGAGTATGGAAGTGTGGTCAGTCCTTTATCCCTCCTACTGTGTGTTGCGCTCATGTATGTGCCTTCTCCCTTAGTCAGAAGTAGTATAAAGCTGTCACTCATTAGTAGTCAAGGCACAAAAGGAACTTGAGGATTAAGGGAACTTGCGATTTTAGGATAATTAATATTTAAATCTTCGGCCACAGAAACTTAATTCACAATGTTATGTGCCATTCTTTGTGACGATACTCTAAGCACTAGTTTTGTACTCCAGGAGTTAATCTGGCCCACACCCTCAACAGCATATAATTAAATTATGAAATTAAATCATGGTGCTACTTAGAGAACAAGACAGGGGCCATCAAGTTTAATAGGATTTTAATGGTAAATTTTGCAAATACCCATATGTGCAAACTGTGTTCATTGAGAGTTTTAATGAACTAAGCTGTTTGGTGAAATCCCTAAGAGGATTATATTATAAACACTGTTGTGCAACTTGGCTATTTACTGTGTAACTGGCTGATAAGAGCAGTGAGTTTTCCTGTAAGCGTATGAGGTGCTGGCTGGCTTGGCACCCATCACATGCTTGCCAGGAAAAGGCTGAGTGGCAGCCGTAGTCATTCCTCTACTTGCTTCTAGAGACAAATACGATCCTTATCGTACCTTGTCCTTTTATGACAAGTAAAAAGGCCCTCATGATGTGCAGCAATCGTAAAACGTGCTTTTGCAGATTCAGGATGATTTGTGCAGTACAAAGTTTGAAGATGATGACTTTAAAGCTGTCACATGAGGTATTGCTCCTGTGTGAGGCTGAAGCAGAGGCCAGGGCCAAGTCTGCACCTCAGGCAACACAGCATGGAGGAGTCTTCAGAAGGTGGTTATGATTTAGAAAGGCCTTGGGCTTATTTACTGCAGAGCCCTAAAGCAGCCTAGGTGTTTTCCCATGGTGGAAGTGGCTTGAAGTTGGATCCTGTGCCAGCTGTTCAGTATTCTTCTCCAAAAGGCTCCCAGAAGAGCTCTGTTCAGCAAGCAAAAAATGAGAGAGCAAGTGAGGGTAAAATTAAACAAAATAAGATTCCATTGTGGTGCTCAGGAGGTTTGAATTGGACTTTCCTCCTCACCTTCACAAAAGTCCTCTTTCCCACAGGTATGCATAAACATTTAGCGAATGGAAATTTTGGTATTCCTGAGAATGAGTGGTGGTATTAACACGGGGGCAGAAGATACTGCAGTACCATGTGAAAGCAGCTAAACTGATGAAAAAAGACTCTTTCGACGTGTTTTAGGAAAGGGAAGGCAGAAACTTAGTTTTCTGCCTAGGTAATTTCTGGAAAAGAATCTAAAAAGTCAGAATCTGATTAGATCAGAAATGAGTAATGGAGTAACAGGCAGTATTGAGCTTTACCAAGGCCAGCAGCAGGTAGCTTAGCGTTCATAAAAGGAGATTTCATGAAATAGAACCTGACACAATATGGACCGTAAGACTCCATTTCACAGCAATGTTGTGCATAAGGATAATTGGGAATAGAAAGTCAAGTTAATAACTTCTTATTTAGAGGAAAGGTCAGGGAAAACCAGTGGATAGAAATAGTTAGAAATTTCACTTCTGCTTCTGTATGGGCCAGTGCTGCAAAAAATGATATTTAAAGCTTCTTTTATCTCTATTTCTAATACCCTGATATCTTTGTGCGCACACTAGGATCTCTGCAACTAATGTATCTTGAACCTGCAATGACATTTTTCCCCTGTTGATTTTGAAACATTGTCAAACTATAAAAAAAAAATGTTTAGTCATGATATTTGCAGCTAAAATTCCAACACATTCTTTCACAGAGACACAGACCCAGTGCTCCTGCCTGCTGCCTTACCAGTGCCCCAGAGAAGACAGCCAGCTTCACTGCATCCAGATGGTGTCAACTGGGAGGAAGAAGACAGTCAGTCATTGCACACTAGCAGCCATGAAGTGCGCTGGTGTGAAAATGGAGGTGCTGAATCCGGGGAGCTGCCTGCAGTAACCTGGCAGCTTGGGTAGCGTCCACCCTGATATTCCCACCGTATGCCTGCTGACCAACCCTGACGACAACTCAGTGAAAGCACAAATGGATTAGAAAACAAACGATGGAAAAAAATCCTGAGCTGACTTGCTGGATTTCTGGGAGGAGGGTGGGGATGGGCTCATTTTTTTTGTCTGAAAATTGTATGGAGTGCGGAGTATGGGGACTGCTACCACTGCCAGTACCTCTGCGCACGTGCAGAGGGAGGAAGGGGAGCTCTGCCTCTCGTTTCCTCTGATGTTGGATGAAACGTTTTCTCTCCTCAGTCATTTGCTGCTCCATCCCTTCGCTTCTGACTGCTCTGCACCTTCGTTGCCCTACTGGCTGTGATCCCAGTGTAGCAGCTAGGTAGGAAGATTGGGCACGTGGTCACGAAGGCAGCTACCTGCGTGGGCCTTCACGGTACCAATTCAGGGAGCGGTACACAATACCGCTAACTGCAAATGTATTGTCATTATGAGCGAGGCCTTCAAAACCATGAGATTTTTAATTAGGGTAACTGAAGGAGGCAACTCTTTGCACTCTGGGTTGGTTTGTCAGTTTTGAGCCTTATAGGCTTAGGATTTGCAAACCTGAAGCTTAGAAACTTGCTTTTCAAGAAGGGAAAGAAAGCTGAAATCTAAAGGTCACTTTCTTATACTACCAGTCAGCAGATCAATGAAAATTAGGAAAAAAAATTATTTATCGACAGGCACTTGTCATGACCTGTGCTATGTATAACTGTCACACCTGGCCAGGGGCTGAGCAGTGTCATTTGGGAGCAGGGTGTGGGGCTGGAGGTGGAACGATAATTTTTACCTTCAAGGAGGTATCAGACACCTACATCTGGTATGTTACTGAGCTCCCCAAATCAGGACCAGCCAGTCTCAACTGTATGGAGCTCAAGGAAAAAAGTGATGAATCCTTCTGCTCAATAGACCAAAGCATTGCATTTTTCTGCTTAAAATGTATAGTAAAAATGATTGAAATAACAGAGTGGTTTGCCCTCGTAAGTCTCTACTACTTTCCTCCAACTGAAGATTCATATTAATAGGCTGGTGATTATTTGGGGGAGGGTTGCAGACTTGATTATCCCTAGCTTTTGTTCTTTAATACCCTTATTCCTTCTTGCTGGTCATATTTCCAAGGGGAATAGTCATTCAGAATGGTTGTGTATGCCTTCTGCACCTTCAAAAAGTGGTAAAGATTTCATGCTCCTGACCTGCTAACCTTAACGCTAGCTTCTCGTTATAGGACTCTGAATCTGGCACGACTCTCCAGCAATTTTTATTGTAATATGAGGATTGTCTTTCCCCATGTTTCTCACCATGACATATTGCCAGATGAAATCATTTTGTGATAAATAAAAGGCAGCTGAGGAGTCACTTGCTGCCCCCGTTTCTCTAGTACCTCCTGTCTCAGATTTGTTGTACGCTTTATGAACATTTGCATTAAGGCTTGCATTGTTCTCTTTTCCTGATTTTTTTTTTTTTGGGGGGTGGGGGGGAGGGTAACTTCTGAAGTTTTCATTTTTATAGTTGAGCATTAAGGAACAGAGAGGGTACATCATCTGCCACTCGCTAACAAGGATAGTGGTGGGTCAGCAGTAAACTGAATGCTGATGAAATCATCTACTTGCTGAAATTAGTAGGAGTTTTACTGTTGATTTCAGTGGAATCAGGACCGTACTTGCAATGATTTAGAATTTGTTGCTATGCTGATATCACAGGGATCTCCAACTGTCTTCTCCTAGAGTTCAACTTTTTAATGTTGAACATCAATTTTCTTCTTGAATAAGCTCTCCTCTTCTACTGCGATAATTTATATTAGGTAGTGATAGACTTTTCTTGTTCATTGGTGGCAGAAAATGCTTCCCTCCCTTTGCCTTTGTAAGCTCCAAGCAACGTCTGATTTGGTGGATCATTGCCTAGGGTCATAAATTATAATTGAGGAAGATGAAGGAAAACCTGAACTGAATCTGTCAGGATAACCAGGGTCACAGGACCGTGCAGATTCTCAAAGGACAGCTTGCTCAGTAATAGAGCCTCTCCAATGCATGGAAAAATCTCATCTGTTTATTTTTAATGTCAGAGAGGAGAGGCATTATCCAAAATGAATATAATGAGCCTTTTCACTGACGCAAACAGTTCAGTACAGCATCCCAGCATTTCTAATTTTTTCTCTGTTATGACAATATGTGGAATACATTTAGCACAGCTTGACAGCTGAGACGTGATACAACTGCTGGACATTCAGTGGCTAGCATTCTGGGCTTCTGTATAAATAGTCATTGCAATTGTAAAGTAGAATGCAATATTTGACCTAATATAGAAGAGAACTGAACACAGATATAGTGTTTATTAAAATATTTATCTTTGTGCTACTTCAGAAATGGGAAATCCACAGTCCCCTTGGTTGGATGCAAGGTAGGGCAGGGTTCAAAAGTGACAGTCAAATATTTACCGACAGATGATAGCATAATTATTGCAGTTGCTCTTTTCTTGCTCCAGCTACAAAGGAACATCTTGTATTAAATGTTTGAGTCCTGGCTTTTATTTCTACTGTTATGTGGCAGATAGGTATCTCTTAAAAGTTTGATGCAAAGTGTATTGCAACTATTAGATGCATATGCCAGATGCACGTTCATGCAGTTACTTTATGCAGCAAGTGAAGCATGAGATCAGTACCAATGTTTTCACTGGTGCTGCGTTCACAGTGAGTGATAAACTGGAGGTGGTTATTGGGCAGTCGTTCCAGTCAGGTTCCTTCTGAGCTTACTGCTGCTCTAATGTGCTCACGAGCTTGCACTCAGGGATGGATCTCCAGCAGCAGCTTCATGTGTGGCATTTATGATAGCTCCACTTCCACGGGTTCAGTTTTACTTATTTGGAGGAAGAGGTCCATCACATTTTCTGCTCACCAGGAGATCCCTGAGCAGTTAGCTTCTGCTAGTTATTTTACTTCAGAAACAGATGCTTCAAATACATGCGTAGTAGAGCTGATGTGACTCTGCTTGTGGAGTTATACGGATAAAGACAGTACAAATGACACTTCTGAGCAGCTAAAACGTAACCGAATTTGACACCTCTGACCAGAGGCTTGTTAATTTTACTATGAAGGGGTCCTTCATCCAGCTCTCACAGCGCTCTTGGCTTCTGAGCATGCATATTTGAAAGGCTTTTAGGATAGGTGCAAAGATTCCTGATGTGGAGGGGTTTGGGTGCATTAATCTTGCTTCCTTGGTTGTTAGGAGTGAGATTCACCTGAATCTGTATATCTGTGTCCAAGCTAATCATCTTTGGCTATCCTTTTAGTCAGTAGAGGAGAGGAACAGCCCTTTGGGGTTGTGATTTTTGTCTTTCTAGTTAGACATGTAAAATCAGGTGGGATGAGTCATGCCCTCAGGGTGCCTGTTTTCCTCTGTTGACTGTGAAGAGAGTTTGGGGGGGACCTAGGCCACGTGTAAATAGTTATGCTATAGATGTCTAAAGTTGGGTGAAATTAATCCTATCTCTTCTCTTTTTAAAACTGAATACATATGTGTATGCAAACACACACATGTATATGTTCCTGATGATTGTTTATTTTCCTGCACTGGATTGCTTGTCTTTTAGATTACAGCTATCTATATTGGCCCTGTTCAGGAATATTTGGAAGTGTTCTGGGCTAGATCCCCAAAGAACCAAAGGCTCAGCGCTGTAACAATGCAGGGTTGGAGGCCTGGTTCCCAAAATGGTGGTGATTGCTAAATGAGGTTCTTGTGCTGCCTTTATACTGCTGCCCTATGAATCAGAAACAGTTGATATTAGCAGAGCATTAATCATCCGTGGGTGGAATACAATGACTATATCTTTATTTGATATAGTCAGCCACCATCAAACTGTGCGTGCGGTTATTTTAGAGCATTTTATCGCACTGGGCAAAGCACCTGAGAGCAGCTGGAGAGCTATGGGGGTTGTGGTCTAGCTGGCCAAAGACCTCCAATAACAGAATGAACCCAGAGCAGAAGAAAAACGATACTAACATGTTGGTTTTTAGGTGGAGCCTGACTGCCTTTTTTTTTCTCCCCAGAGCCCCCTTGTGCCCTACGTTGAGAGTTAAGAAGTCCTCAATCTGACTGCAGCAGTCTGAAAAGTGACAAGAAATTATCATAGGGACATACGCTCAGACTCCCATCTTGTTTTTGGAAACTGTTGCTCCCAAAACTTTCAAGGCAGAAGAGCCTTTGCCCAGCAGAATATTTAGGTGACAAACAAAATCATTTACTTCAAGGAGATGAGGCATCTCACGTGCCTGGGCCCTGTGGGCACCCCCAGCCCTTCCCGTCCCTGCCCACCCTGGGGGCTCCCCTACCCGACCCTGTCCCAGGCCCCGTTTGGGCCCAGCCCGGGGCTATTGGTTGCTGCCCCGCGACACCACAGCAGTGCTGGCTCCAGCCCACCATGGCCCGGCTCCACCGGGGGCCCCAGGGAGCCACCGGCTTGTGTGGGGTGCCCTAACAGCAGGATAAAGAATTAAGGAGTTAGGATAGGCAGATGTGTAAGCAAATGCAAGCTTCTAATATTGTCTTTACACAGAATAAAACCTGTTTACTGGGGATTTTACCACTCCCTGCTGGTTAGAATCTGCTAAAATAGTAACTGGTGTCTTCCCTTGTGTGCTGTTACTGGGACCGTCTGTGAGCACGGTGAAAATAGCGTAACTGATAACAGGGCCTTAATTTTCCCATGGTCATGTCTTACTTTTCAGACAAATCAAATATGAAAGCTATAACATAACGGTGACTGTGTGTAACTGTGTACCAGTTGGGAATTTTGGGCCCCTAGTGAACAAGCGGGTCCTATTAAATGCGAGCTTGGAGACCTTGGTCCCTCGTCAGATTGTGACCTAGGTGTCAAAAACCACTTGGGGTGGGGGATTAAAACTGACTGGGTAGGTTGAGGAAACAGTAAATATCATTTACTTGTATTTCAGAAAGGCATTCAGAGGCTGTGCTGCAAAGCAGCTGAGCTGTAGCTTCACAGTGTCTGTCGACAGGGATGGGCTTGAGGGCACATGCTTGTCGCTCCTACTGAATTATTAACATGGTTTTGGTCTGTGCCAGCCAGTCCTCCCCCAAACAAAATTTGGGCACAAATCAATAGCTAGCATGAGCCAAGGACTATTTCCAGTAGGACAAATAAAGGCACTTTTTGGGAGGGTTTTGGAGTGCGAGGGTTAGCTGGCTGGATGTGAACTGCCCCATACCCTTTTGCCCTGGGGCCATAAAATGAGGCCTGTCCTATTTGGTTTACTGGTATAAACATTGGTTATTTGCTCTTTTACCGGGGTTCCTAGCTCAAGTTTACTTTATTGAGCACCCATATCTGTTTTGAAAGACTTTAGCATGCACTGGGGACAGACAACAAACCAAAGGGTCAGTGTTCAGGGCCAGAGAAGTGTTCCAAGTTTTAAGTATAAATGAAACTTAACAGTAATGTTTCAGTCATGTGGGACCTTAGTGGGGATGGCAAGTTTTGAGCAACTAAGATCTCTTTTAAATATCGGCTGAAACTCCAAGCAACACTCTCTGTTTTCTTTACAACCCTCTAGGTTAAACCTGCAAAGTACAATTCGTGCTGATATAAGATGATCTGTAATAATCATCACATATCTTTGGTTTAGTTTGCTAGGGAATAATTTCTGAGTAGGTATATGTAAAATTCAAGTTTATTTTGTTAGCATCCCTGAATACACGGTTGTTTTGTCTGTGAAATTCCTCTGAGAATTATTGTGTCAACATTCATTGTGCAACCGTGATTTACTGTGTAACAGGGTGAGAATAGCTGTGGGTTTTCCTGTAAATGTGAAATTTTTCTTGGCTGATACCATGCACAGAGCTCTGCCAAAAAAAAGCTGAGTAGCGGCCACATTCCTTAGTGGCGTGGGTGTGTGCATGTGCGTGTCCACTCATCTGTGCAAAAATACATGTTTACTGGAGGGACTAGAAGTGCTTTAACACTGACCAACACTGCTATGTGCTCTCATCACTGGTGTAGCTGTGGATATTGCAGCTGCCATCTAGGCTGCAGCTGGCCTGCGTAGGTGAGTGTGCATGGCAGAGAGAGACTTTACTGAAGATTTTATTGGTCTTGCCCCCGTGGATAAGAATTCAATGGCAGGGCTTTGGCTTATGTTTTAGCCTTTTGATGTATGTACTCTATTTCTAAAATCAACCAGCCTTGTGGCTATTGAGAAACGTCCGTCTCTGAGTGCAGCAGTATAACAGCTGCGAGGAATTAGTCCTTTGCCAGATGCAGTTGTGGCTGTCACTGCTGACCATGGCTCTGCTTCGTGCTACTTCTGCTCTGCCTAAATGCTGGTTCTAGTGTCAAAGCGCTGCCTTGTGCTCAAGCTAATCCATCCTGAT